TTTTATAAGAATTCTAATTTATATTTATGTAGATACTAGCAGATCACTCCATTCGCTATACCACCACGCGACTTTTTTCTAATACTTACATTTTTAAATTCGTGTTGTCTTTCGAATGTAATGTCCGAATCGAATAATTCAAAAATTTTTACAAAGGTATTGAATCAGTATTGAATATGAAGTAATTAATTTTGATATACGGATTAATACTAAGGAACAAATAAAGAGCTTTACAGAGGCGCCATTTAATTTAATTTTTTAAAACTTATTTTATATAATATAAAAACAATAGTATATAGCGCCCGCTATATAGGAATTTTTTTACGTAGTTTTCTTACACCTTAGGTTACATTATTTGCATTTTAGAAGGAATCCGTATCTTTTTTAAAAATATAATGTAGCCTATGTTCACCGGAGAGAGCATAGCTTCCTAACGGTGAACGAATATTTCAAATCCGTCTAGTAGTTTTGGAGCATATTCAATTCAAACCTACATATAATCAAATCTTTCCTCTTTATAATATTAGTGTAGATACTATTGATGTAACATACTCACTGAAATAGGTTTATGGAATTGAGACTATCATATAAATAAACTTTACTCATCTTAGAAAAATTTTACCACACATGATAATATATTATAATATTTAAATTATATTTCCCCGAGGGGATTTCCTCGTATCTATCCGAATTATTTGAACGTGTTACAAAAAACCGTTATTTAATTGTTGAATATAAAAACGACATTTATGAAAACTCAATATTCAATTCTTTATTTACATGATGACAGTTTTATGTTCTTGTGTTTTTTTTTCATTTTGATCGAAAACTTCTTTTTACAGCATTATTATTGCATCATTAAACTGTTCCTTTTACTTTTACTTTCACTTACAAAATAGTTTTTTATGTATTGTACAATGCAAAAGTGATAACTATTGTAGAATATTACTGTTACATATTTATTAGATTTTTTCTCTCGCTTATAAAATTTTATTTTATTTATACACATACATCAATATGTGTGGAGATTTATAATTTATAAAAAATATAATTTTCAATTACTCAGTACTGTTGGTTATACTCTTACATACATATGTATGTAATTCTAAGTACACATAAAATCCTTTTAGAGCAACTAAGTATGTAAATAAAATCAGTATTTATATTTTAATAGATATCAATGCTCATTTGTTTACTTGTAAGTAAGTGATATGTTAAATAACGGTTTAACGCTAATTTTAATACAATTGGTTTAATATGGTCGTGAAAGCAATTCATATAACCAAACATAAAATCATTAAAAGTTTATGTATCTCTCTTTCTTTTGCTATTCCATTCATCTTCTTTTGCTTTATTATTTAACTCTGTAAGAATCCAGATCATTTTTTCCTCGACTTCCAAACTTAGTTCCTTCAAATGTCAGCTGGCCTCAGTTTTCCAAACGGATTTCAAACTAACACTTCAGCACCATAAATAGCTTTCATTAGTGTTTGTATGAATGGATGTAACTATGAATTGCTATAAGCACCTAAAGCAGCTAAGCTTTCAAACTTAGGTTTATGAAGTTATGTATTTATGCACTATTCGTACTGCTTAAGTGCTTTGTAAATAAATCAGGTATATTAGCATTGCTATAAATAATTTGCTTTTAAATATTATTTGCACTAAATCATTATTATTTTCTTCTTAAACTTTAATAGCCTTAATCGAAAGTTGTAATATTATTTTTAATGATTTCTTTACGTTTTCGCAGTTAGCTTTTAGGCGTCTTAACTGTGTGAACGAAAATCAGCAACACTGAAGCTGTCTTCGATTCGCAATTTCTCTCCTCGCTTCTGTTCTCTTGTCAAAAAAAATTATATGTAAAAGCAAAACCAAAGTTATTGAGTTAAATTCTTACCATTAAAGTGGTATAGCCGTTATATTTAATTTTGTTTTATTATTGTGAATGGTTCCAACGACAAATAAATATATAAATTTCATTTTTTCTTGTATTTTTAAAACTTAAGACTTCAAATCAATTTTAGTACTTTATAGCAAACAAAAATAGTACATTACTACTACGTTTTTTCATGCGAAAAAAATTAATTCGCCACTAAGAAAGAATCATAACACTATTGCGTATGCATCAGAAAACATGTTAGCACAGGGCATCTGGTATAATTTGTTCCATTTTCTACTCTCTAAAGCCTGGCGAATCGAAGACAGCTTGAATCAATCACTAAAAACTACTAGGTGATTACAATAATGCTTGTATGTAAAGTCAAAATATACAAAGTACACACAAAAGTACAGTAACAAACGGAAATCTGCAAAATCAAATATATCTGTAAATATATATTTTTTTTTTATTTCGGATAAAAACAAGATATAGCATTAATTTCTAAATAAATTTTAGACAAGTTAACTACTAAATCGTCTAACTCTCCATGAAAACTAATATTACCTGCATTTCTCCATAAATTATGGAACATTAGAACCAGGTACATATAATATCAACGAAATCGAAAAGAAAGAAACATACATAAAGTTCTTTACAATGATAAAAAATCGCAGGGTGTTTAAAAGGCATTTTCGAAACTCGACTAAGCTTAGGTGCTCCAATAAAATTCTAAAATAAAGCAGATAAAAAACAGTGAATCAAAAGTAAGTAACGTTTTCTCGCTTCAGCACTCTATTTAATTAGGCATTTGAATTAATTAGGCACCGTCCACTAAAATTTGCAATATGTATGAAAGCACCTATTCGCCGTAGCTAGCCGCATTTTAGATATATCATATTTTCTATTTTCCCTTGTTAAAGTTCAGAGAACATAGTATACCGGCAACCATACAGCAGTTGCCTTAGATAATAGGAGTTTAAGTTCTACTTGATTTTTTACACTTAAAATTCTCCGGGCTTAAAACCTGATATATCTTTTCATATCTTGCCCTTCTCTAGTCAGTCATCACGTTAATTTCGTTTCAAGGAAAATAAAATGATTATTCTTCCGAATAAAATCAAAGCTGGCGAAATACTTATAGGTGTTGTCAAAACTTTATACTAACAAGTAAAGAAGGTTTAAGTTCGGGTGTAACCGAACATTTTATACTCTCGCAACGTAAAGTGATATACGGATTTCTCATAGATATTTTAATTAAAAGTAGGAAGTATTGCATCCCTACACTTTTATTAAGAAGAGATTCTTTCGGAATTTCTTTAAGATTTCTTACATATTGGCCATTTTTGACATTCAGACAGACTCAAAAATATTTATTCTGCGCAAATTTTGCTCATATACTTCGAATGGTTTAGGAGATGTATACATTAAACTGATAAGATGGCGGAGCCACGCCCACTTTAAAAAAAGTGTCAATCATAGATGCCGGTCTCTAATGCAATTCCCTGTACCAAAGAACAGGTTTATATTCGAATTTTTGCTCAAATTACAGCGTGCACGGACGGACGGACAGACAGACAATCAGCCGGATTTTAACTCTTCTCGTCATCCTGATCATTTATATATATGTTTACAACCCTATATATAACTCGATTAATATTAGGTGATACAAACAACCGTTAGATGAACAAAACTATTACACTCTGTAGCAACGTGTTGCAAAAGTGTAAAAATAGAATAACGTTTTCTTAAAATATAACTGTTAGTAAGTTAAACAAAGCCGGATAATCATGTTTTCTCACATTAGCTCATTTTGTCGTATTCATTAATAGTCCGTGAGCGATTCATTTAGTATTTCCTTACTGGATCAATTATGGTATTACGATCGGGGAAAATTCCTCCCGGACCCATAGTTCTGATGGCGGTCAGGTGCTCTGAAATAATTTTTTGCAGATTTTTTCTCCAACAATTGATGGATTCGGGGACCGGCATCCTTGCCGGGCTCCGGCTTACTCTCTAACGTCTTGTTGATACCACATACTAACGTGGTTTTTGTAAAGTGACATGATACAACCGTTAGATCATAAGTGAAACCCTTAACCTGAAAAACGGGACGAAACTTAACAAATGTTTCATTTGTGGGACAACTCATGATGAAATCAATTGAACGGATGATCCACATTCGGTGATAACTTTACATACAAACATTCTTAGAAAACACTTTTTTAATACCATAAATAATTCTTAATTTGTTATTTGAACTTATGTAGCTCCGTATTTGTTTCTTATGGTATGTAAGTTCTATGGTCGTATGTACGTATGCTAAGATGCTACTTAATTTAAGCTAATAAACTCTTAATTATGCTATATTTATTTCTATTTATGTACACGGCTGTTTAAAGCAATTACATTCATTGTTTGTAGAAATTGCATTCTAATATTATTTATTAACTTTGTTGTTCTTGTTAAACAGAAACTTTAATTTGAAAACTTTTCAGGTGAATATTGTACTGTTGAGAATAATCATCGCTCATTCATCGTCAAAATATTGATTTATTTTTATAAATAGCGTATAAGTATGTATATACATCGTAGCGTTTGTACGATTATGCACGTCGTCTTTTCTGTTAAGCACTTAAGTTAACTAATTCACATAAGTAAGTAATTTATGTATATCTGCATGTATCTAAGTGAGAGCGTTTAAAGGTAGGGAACTAATGAAGTAAAGCTTAGATGACTTTGCGGATGGTATTTGATCTAAATTTCGCTAAGTATTGAGGAGAGTTCTCAATGAATACAATTACTTGGTGATCACTTGCTGAACTATGGAACCACTTCGTATTTAACGATGAAGCAACGAATATTTTATATCAAACTAATTTTCAACATACAGTTCACAATAACTGCTTATTATTCAATCACGTCAATTGTAATCATTAAAAACATATTAGTCATAAGTAAGTTCAGGGCTGCTTATAAAATATGTTTATTATTTATTGGCACAGAAAAGTTGCCAAATTCAACAACGACAAAAACTAGGTTATGTTAATAATGATATAAAAAAACAGCTAAATGAAATAAAAAAACTACATTGTTAGCAGATAAACAAATAAAACTCAAATTAAATTAAAAATAACGTTTATTTCCACAGAAACCCCTTAGTTATGCATGCGCAAGTTCATCAGAAATTCAACAAAATTTTGAGGAAGTCTAGACAAACTTGCGCATACATTTCTAAAAATTAAAAATAAAATTACATTAATTAAATTTTGTTTGGGGTACAAAATCACTTTATGCATTTTTTGTAAAATATTATGACTTGCATTAGACTTATTTCGTAGCTTAACAGTAAAATTATTTTGTTGGAAGAAAATAAAATGTGCTCGCAAACAACAAATGTAGGTATGTATGCATGGTTTATGTGCGGAAACAAATGGCAGTACAGAGTACGAATATATGGGGATGAATGAAGTTACATAACTGATAACAGAAGGTACAGAAATAATATTTAATATAGATTAAACAAGATAAAATTGTCAAATATATATGGTGCATATGCAGTATGCAGGTGTCTGTAAGGTTGCACGTAACTGAATTGTGTCTGTAGCATGAAGTGAGTACACATTAAAAGCAATAAACTAACTTTAATGATCTTAAAAAGGTTTCAATAACAATAATATGATTTCTTTATTGTTTAACAGATGAGTCAGACGTGTTGTTTCTAATTAGAGTGTGTGTTTTATGAGTTACATAATCCTTATAAAATCATTTTTTTGTTTTTTGCACTTTCAGCATAATTTTTTAACATTTTCTATTTTTGTATTTTGGTAAATGTTTATGGTTGTGAATGTATGTGTGTGTTTGTGTATTGCATGGTCGTCTATACAACTTAACTATCAACATACTTTAACTTGCCAGCCAGCTTTTACGCTACTTCTTATCGTACTATTTGTTGAACGTAAAACTATCAAATGTACACTTTAAAATGTAACGGTTATTAAACGTTATATATGTTTAAATATACATATGGTATATGCGGATATGACGTATACCGGTTACCTCTCAGCTTAATTTTCATCGCCTTAACGTTATGTATTGAATCGTAAGTTGTTCTCATGATCTGGCAATCACTTCAGCGCTAACGAAGTGATTTAATACCTTTCCTATAAGCAATTAGCTGTCAAACGCTCTTCCTCGCAATTTGTGTTATTTTCAATTAGCAATGGCGTTGCCGTGTATTTGCATAATTGTGCGAAGCGCTCCATGACACACGACGAGGAGAGACGTGCTTCAGCATCGTGATCCCAGCACTCTTCCATGGTGTCACAGAAGATGTTGAGGCCCTGCAAAAGTACAATAAAACACAATATGAGCACAACAACTACATTTAATCGTCAATATTTTCGGTAATAAAAATAATTCTGGAGCTTGCAGCTCAAACATGCTTGGCTAGGGCTTTACTTACAACATGCGTTCGCCATGTGTTCAGCAAGCGCGGTCTCAATTTCTTTGTGACTACAGTATCTTGTATCTCATCCAAAGTAGGACGCAGTCCAAGCTAAAGTGAAGAGCATGCACAATGCGATATTAGGGCATATATTCTAATTACATAACCCTATCATTTACCTCAGCTTCAAATGGCAACATGTAGTCGCCAACAGGTCCCACAGCGGTGCAGCGCGACACCATCTCCCACAATACCAAACCGCACGCGTATACGTCGATGCGCAGAAATGCATCACGATTGAAATTGATGGCGCCCTCCAGCACCTCGGGAGCCATGTAGCGGCGTGTGCCAACTTGACCATGAGTTTCGCCGCACGGTTTGCCTACAACAAACACGAATTGCGAATATTCCAAATAAAAATACGAAGACTAGCACTTTTGCACTTACCAGGTTGAAATACCATAGCCAAGCCGAAGTCAGCAATGCACGCCGTCAAGTCGCCCTTCAGAAGCACATTTGTGGACTTGAAATCGCGATGCGCTATGGATGGCTTTAGACCGTCCGTCTTGCCGGCCGGTATTTCCTCATGCAAATGCATTAAACCTTGCGACATGGATTCAGCGATTTTGCACAGCTCCAGCCAAGTAAGTGTATGCGATTTCAAGTAATTACATAGTGAACCGTTTGGGTGATACACGGAGATGAGCCAGTATTCCAATTGCACTTTCTCTGTGTGCTTTTCGCAACCAAGAAACTCTAAGATATTTGGATGCCGCATGCGTGGTAGCTGTAACAAGTTAAAATATTCAAAATATTAATGAATTTCGTATTTTAGCATTTCACCAAAATCTACCTTATAAATATCCACTTCGGTATTCCAAGACTCCTTCTCCTGCATACGAAATATCTTAACGGCCACATCTTGGCTATGCAGCTTACCCTGCCACACGTCACCGAAACGCCCGCTAGCCTTCAGCTCCAATAGATGTATAGGCCGGTTGTTGAGCAATGGCGAAGCATTTGTAGCTTCCGTTTCATTCTGCGAAATATAAATTGTTACGAGCAAAATAAATAAATAAATAAACAAGTGCAATGAACAAGATTGCGTCAAAGTCAACTCACCGTTGGTATTTCGTTGAAATTGCTCGGTTTGCGCTTGCGGTAGTAGCAAAATGCGAATGGTGCCAACAAAAGCGCTAAACAAACGAACACAACTGCACAAACTACTACGTAAATTACGTTCGTATTATCCGTTGTTTTTTCCTTCGGTACTATATAGAAAAAGAGAAGCATTCATTTTATACATAAGTATTTAAGAAGTTGTCCTTTGACGAAATAATATATAAGTATTTTGCGTCGAAACAGTTCGTTTCCTTGGCACAACTTTAGCTAACTTCGATGACAATTAGTTTACCTCTCATTCAACAGGTTATCCCTAAAAACTGTTAAAAGAATATCATCTTCTATCCGCCCCATAACTTTGAGGAATATTGTCGAATTACCCTTGGGGGCGTGGATTAAGTTACTTCCATTTGACCAGAACTTAAAAAAAATAATTATAGACCCCTAAAGGTGCTGGTCTCGGGCCAACTTGTCTAACACATTAAGATATTACCTGATTCTTCACATAGACTTATGTTTAAATTACTTTTAAAGCGCACATTTTAAGGCTTTCTGAAATCCTAAACTAAAAACTTCTTAATAACTTACATATAATATATACATATACATAAGTATGTATGTACATTCACGTGTCCCAGCAACAATTAAAAAGCAAACAAAATTTTGTTAGACTTTTTCTTGAGGACAGCAGAACACCACAGGTGAACAACTGCTCAAGTGGCCAAATGGAGAAGGGTGGTGTATGTCTTTGTATGTACATATGTATGTAAATCCAAAAAAAGCATACAAAAATGAAAGTTCTCCCCTAATTTTAGAAACAGCTCGTTCACACACTCAATCATAAGCGCATAAATACACACATAAATCCACACGAACAACATACAGAACGTAAAAATGGTCACGAAACACACGAACGTGCTCCAAGTGAAAAGTGAACACAAAAAGGCCTTGCAACAGGGAAAACTAAAATACGGAGTTCGCCCCCGTATCAAGCATTTTTTAATATTTGTATAAAAAAATATTAATGAAAAAAGGAAAAAATGAAGAAACAACAAAATACGGAAAAAATGGGCAAAAAATAAAAAGCAACACTCAACGCAACGCATTAAACTGCAACAGCACATGCATGCCCCAAGTTGCAACTAACAGAGTAACAGAGCTCTGCCCGAACAACCGAGAAGCATGCAACTGGAAGCGAGTTTTGCTGCTGGATCCATTGCTATGTGACCGTTTTGTTATACTTACTCGTTTTTTTTATTGCCGAGTTCGTTAACTCGGCATAGGTGGCTGGTAGTTGAGGGTGTTGCGTTGCGCTACAACGACACCACATCAACGATGCGATGCGATGCCAATGCGCCACGACAATATTAGCTGCACCAGCAAACAAGCAGTTTCACATAGCATTCAGCAACCGAAAAGCAGAAGCAGGAACCCCAAACGATACAAAGTAGCAAAGCAAAACAAAGTAAAAATTGGGGTAAACACTGTATGGCGCTCTATCAGAGCAACTCATAACTCGCAATTCGCGCGTTCGAACAAGCACACGTGCCACGACTATTGTGGCTTTTGTGGTTGTTGTTATCGTTGTAATTCTTTCTGTTGCTTTTACTACCCCACCTACGGACAGATTTAAACACTTCAGCGGATGAGCAACAGCATCAGAATCATAGCGTTTTGCATTTGTGTATTTACAGTTGTACAGATGTGCATCTAAGTATGGATATATGGTATGTATGTATGTATATACGGCAACAAAGGCAATCGTCACTTAAGCTAAAGACAGTTCACGCTGTTAAACAGTGTGACGAGATGATTATAGTTATACTTCAAGGTTTAATATTTTAAATTAAACGCGACTTGTTGATTAAATCGATTATCAAGAAGAAGAATTCAAATAATATCTTATAATAGTGTTAAATACAACATAATTAAAAATTTCTGGATTAATTAAAATATTGAAATTATTTCTAACGGAATTTAATAATTAAAATATGTACATACTCGTACACCAATACCACATATTTTCCTTAAAATTTTATAATTAAACCAGAAAGTTTTGCATCTGCTTTGAACTAATAAGAAGCTGTTATGCATTTGAAAAAAAGGCGAGAACGACACAATAAGGAAAACAAGAAAAAACGTTAACTTGATGATTTGTATGTGTATATTTTATAAGGTCTCTGACGTTTCCTTCCCGGTGTTACAAACTTAATATACCCTGTTCAGAGGATAAAAAAGTGTTTATGGGCAGATAAAGTCGGCATTAGTTGGGCCTCTCATAATTTTTGCTAATTCCCTTTGACGTATTTTAAGCTCCCTCTACTTATTGTAAACAGTCTCCGGATGACACTAGTTTATGGTACATATGGCATTATTATAAAACAAAGAATTTCAGATTTTTGCTTCGACCAGGATTCGAATTAACGAGTCATTAAATGGCCACATGATATGCATAACATTGAGATATATTAACCAATTCAGCTATTGAATTTGAAATCTGCATTTTTTTAATGCGTGGCCTTAAAACAATGTTATTTTACCTTGAGTTGTGGCCTCGGTGGTGGTAGGAATCCATTTGTGCTCCCTATTACACATGGAGCCCTTGCAACAGCAAAAGTATAATTTATTTTGACGCGGCTCCATGCTGGTAATACATTCCGTTTGATTGCATTCATGCATATCAGTGAAGCAACCCTTCATTTTAATTTTGGTTTCACCTACAATAAAAAAATTGGATCATAGAGATACAAATAGGAATGAATACGGGGATAAAACCCTTTGGCTTATTCGCAACATGTAACAGCATAAATATACCTGTGTCCCTATCAATGGTCCATAGCACATAACAACTGGATGTCTTCTCCGACTCCACCTTACAGTGCTCTACTTTGATCGCGCAATCACCCTCCGTAGTACAATTCCTTTCATCAAAATGTTCACAGTCAATTCTATGGCCATCAGGCAAAACGGCGGCTTGTGTCCAACCTGTAAAATCTGCAACACAAACACAACATAATAAATTTATTAAATCACACAATATAGGACTATATACTATGCACTTATAGGTATGTACAATTACAATATGCAAAAAAATAATAGAGAAATCTTAAAAATAGTAAAGCCAACAGATCAAACGATAGCCGAAAGAAGAAGGAACAAAGATAAAATGGAAAGTAAACAGGATAATACCAAACCGACATAAAAAGCGAAAAGAAGTATGGTCATGGCTTTCATTTCAATCAAGTACTCGAATAACAACAAAACCAAACAAGTATGCCTAACTGCTATGTATGTACTTAAAACATATGTATGTATCTATATAATACGTGCAAAGTTCTCAGTGGGAGTATTAACTAGTAAGTATGGTTGGCCTTTCATTTCCGTTATGGAAAGTTTGCATTTTCGTGTTGAATTTAGCGGGAAACAACTTGGCGCAACTACGCAATTTTCACTTTGTAGGCATATCGTATGATCCACAGTCACTGACGAATACCACCTGTCCCCAGCTGCAGCGCTGCGCTAACTAGGCAATGCATCTAGCAATTCACTATACGTTTCTTCGCACAAAATAGTGTGCGGGTAATTTGAACCGAGCAAGGAATACTCTGTTAGCTATGGTAAGGATACAACCCCTGTTGTAGAGTATAATATGATGACAAGGCATATCAATGTGGCGTGCAGTGATGAATAGGCGGTTTGTTTCAAGTACAAATTGCAAACTGGTTTAAAGCTTAATATATAAAAAAGAGGAAAGAACACCGCAAATAGTAGGGATATCTTTATAGAAATATTACACACGTATTAAAAAATACTTTTAAACACTCTTTGTTGTTGGGATCGTATATAATTCGGTATTAAGAATACAAATTAACAACAAAATAAAGTGTTACTTTTTTAAGTATTATCTGTTATTCGTTGCCTCGACCTTCAAGATGATAAAAATTACTTTTGGGATATTGTATGCAGATGTATACACATACATGAAAAAATATGAAGACTCAAGAAGGCGGTTAGTATTTATAATCCTTTAAGAAGTCGATAGATATATAGATAGATAGACATAAATTGTACCGCGGCATAAGGTCTATATGACCATGATAAACAGGTGCTTCTTAGGCATGTAGTGCCCATTGTAAAACGCCACGAGTAGCCCGAATTTCTCTTTGCGGAGGTTAGTTATGTTTTTAAAAAAAAAAAAAAAAAAAAAAAAAAAAAAAAAAACGAATTATTTTTAATCGTCTTATTTTTACGTGTAGATTACAAATCCGTGAGCGGAAAATGAATTTTTTCAATAATTCATGTATATTTTTCAAAATTTATTTAATACACTTTGCACATATCACATATTCAAGTCACTTAGTTGTTGTTGTTGTAGCGGAAAAATTCTGTAGAATTCAGATAACTTAGCTGTAATTATCAGTTTAGCGTGTTAAACATTTTCTTATGAAAAAAATATACTGAAGAAATGTAAGTCACAATTTCTTTTGCGCCGCGATCTGATGGTATGGACGACTATCGGAGATCGTCGAACTCCTTTCCACACTGGCGTCCTTCGGCCGCGCTTCAAAAAAATAACCCTGATCGGTCCAAAACCGCGGTGTTCATAATTCAACCGCGTCAAACTCCTTGCTCGCTGCTCTCAACCTCGATGATAATTTTCATCACGATGCAGAGTATGTGTAATTATTAATATCACAATAAAAGTGCACAAACATTTATAAATTTTCAGAAACGTTTATGAAGAAGAGAAGTAAATACACCAAAAAACTTGAACAATATGTGATTTTTACAAAGAAAAAAATAAACCTATTAATTTAAATGTATCACAATTTTTTATTTTTAATGCATATTTATAAAAAACAGTTTTTTTTTGTATTTATTTTTTGATTGAAAAAATAAAAATATATAGAAATATTAAAAAATTCACTTTCCGTTTACGGATTTTTAATCTACGCGTAAAAATAATACGATTTAAAAAATAAATGTCCTCTTTAGTTGGGAACCAAAACTATACATTTACTCAAACTAATTTTAATGTCAGTAGCCCGAGTGGTAGGCATTGCATCAAATAAATAATTTACATAAATATGAGATTATTAGAATACAAAATAAGCTTACTTACTTGTTATCAAAATAGGGTAGAGTAGAAGCAGCGTCATTGTTGTTTGCTGCCAAAAGGGCTGCGTACGGTATAGGGCTTTGATTTTGATCATTTTAAATTTTTGGAATAGCACTTAATCTCCAGATAATCGTCAATTAATCGTCACTATGATGCCACATGGAAGGTCGTTGTCAAGACAAATTAAGGACCACACTTTTATTACCGTATTATCGACAATTTATAAATGGAAATTCATTTAACTAAAAACTATTACAGAATATTATTTTCAAATATTTTGAAGAATATTAAAATTATGTGTATTAATGCCCAATGATGAAATAATATCCTTTTTGGCTTTACACAATTCCAAACATTGTGTATACGTTACTTCTCAGCTTATATTTATCTATTTACTACTTCAAGTATCGATGCTTGTTGCTTTTTGTATGGTAATTTTTTAGAGATTTTAATTTTATTTTCGCGAAAATAATTAATAAGTATATCTTTTATCACTATTATGTAGGCGGTGCGGAAGTCGAATTATTATTAAAAAAAGAATATAGTATCAGAATAACTTTTACACTCGCTCACTAATGACCTCTTTAACAGTTGCGATATGTTCAAGCACATGAAGTTTTGCGATCTTATTCTAAAAGAGCCATAGAATTATTTTATATGAAACATTTTACATTTTGTAAATCACTTATGAATTTCACTTTCTTCACTTAATTCGTAAGAAATATGTTCTATTAACTCAAATTTTCCCGTATTATATTGCTCAAACAAGGTTTGTGTTGCTGAATCTTTTCGCTGGAACGTAGTTATTTTGCTGTCATTTTGACTTTTCTTTCTGCATTTAATCTGTACTCACTGAGAACACATAATGCACTCCCTTTGACACCGTGCGAGGAAGTGAAGAAGAGTGTTTCACAGCCCGACTGGTAGTCGCCGACAAACTATGTTGCAAGAGGTAAAGTAGGATAGACTGTGTATTTTGTTTTTATTTTGATCGGAACAGCAGAGTTACTCACATTTCGTATAAAGTCGACTACCCAATTTTAACTTCTAGAAACCATATCAGATATTTCAATCGAAATCTTTACACTCTTTATTACTTAATACATCTGCCTGAATGTTTCAATGTACAAATCATTGCAGATACAAACGAATACATTTCTGTTGTTGTCACTACTAAATTGTAGATGGCGCAGCTTAATAATGTCACAGTGAGTTATAGAAAATCGTTTTCCTGGTAAGTATTCGCAGCTCCATTGCAAATTATTAATATTAATCAAAGGGTTGGAAAATTTATAGACAGTAAAATAACATTTAATAATCCTAGAGAAAACAATTTTAGACCAGAGGTGCATTACATGCTATCTATGTATCTTCAAATAGTGAAACTTTTTGTATACAACCTTGCCTTCGTGCCAGAAATGATGCGCACAAAAAATATTTGTTGTCCTTTTCGTACACGAGCCTGCGGTGACGAAAAGGCACACAACGAAACGAAAACATTAACATCGCCATTTGTGAAAAGACAAAGCAGTGTATGAAAGGTGAAAGGTTTGAATTTTTATAAATTTTTTTTATATTAATTATTAAATATTAAAAAGTGAAATTAGCGGATACAAAATATTAAAATTATATGTAAACATTATTATTACAGTTACAGCTAATATTATTTAAGAGACATATTCAACTAAAACTATAACGAAATGACTGGACGCGGAAAAGGTGGTAAAGGTTTAGGAAAAGGAGGCGCAAAACGCCATCGTAAGGTAAGTAATGTTGCTGGGTTGAATTCGTCGATTTGTGCTGCAGTTATAGGGTGATAGTTGTGAAATTCGAAGTTAGAGCTGACTACTGTTTACATATGAATTTCTTCGCTTCTGCAGGTGCTACGTGATAACATCCAAGGTATCACAAAACCGGCCATTCGCCGTTTGGCTCGTCGTGGTGGTGTAAAACGTATTTCTGGATTGATTTATGAAGAAACGCGTGGTGTATTGAAGGTAAAAATATCGCTCAGTCTAAGATTGTATTGTAATTGCAAAAGGACATTAATTGCAGGTGTTTTTGGAAAATGTAATTCGTGACGCCGTCACCTACACCGAGCACGCCAAGCGTAAAACGGTCACCGCTATGGATGTTGTATACGCCTTGAAACGCCAAGGTCGCACCCTGTACGGTTTTGGCGGTTAAATATTTTAACAAGACACTGAATGTAATGGTTACCAATTCCCAACTATGAAATAATAGCTATAAATTTGAATTTAAATGATAAATTGTTCTTGCTAGTATCAAACAAAATGCACTTTTAAAGTGAAATACATTACTATTCCATTTACTGAAGAGAAAAAAATTAGTTCAGTTTAATAAATTAATGCACGGAGTTCCAAAATGCAACTACGGTATCATATATGTATGAATTTATGCTTACGGTTAATATGGTTTATTGTATAGTTTTTAATAATTGTCTACGACTTTTTATAAACGTTTATTTATTGCAACATAATATTATACAAAATATATACATATGCGTATACACAAAATTGAGAAAAGGATTACACAAGAACTGCTGTAAGCAAGAAAAAATATACGAAAATATATTTCGGACGCTACAGAGAATTTTGTAGTGTGATTTTACAACATTTGATACACAAACCTCTTCACAATACTTCCTAAGAAAAAACTAGGAAGAAGGAATGAGGAGTAAGAGGCCTTAATATACTTCTCGGAGACATCTTTAAAAGAAAAAATACTAAATTCAACAAATAAAATAAAAACTTCCACATAATTTTCTGAGCTTTCTTGCGTTCTTCTTTTCCACACAATTTTTACCTCGTCAATCATCGCACAGTCCCATAAAGAGTGTACGAGGCGACTTAATGTCCATAGTCAAACCCTCGCCTTGACCATGTTGCAATTGCTGTTGCGACGTCAACGACTTGTTGCGCCGTATGAACACTTTTAACGGTTGAAAATCTGCGACACTGTTACGCAATGTGTCCGAATCGCTGGAACAGCCATCGCTGGTTTGACTGCGAGATGTGGATATGGACAAATCGTCCATTTCAATTTTATTACAAAAGATATTGCGACTGCTGCTGGGAATGGAGCAGCCACCAACATTATTTAACGGCTTCTTGTCAATGCGCGCCGTTAATTGTGTTAGCAGTGACGAAGAAACGCCTGGCATTGGTAGCATCATCGGAGACAATTTATTCGCTGCCGAATCGCCGATATTCGTCTCGAAGTGCACCGCAGTAAGTTGAAACTGCAATAAATAAAAATAACCTTTTGAATATAACTTTTTGCACACAAAGTATAATGTTGTTTAAAAAATGTGTATGTTGTTAAATTAGTAACACGGAACTGAATAAAGATCTTAATATCCGAGTTGTTAATTTATTTAATCATATACTCTATAAAGTCTCTATCAAAGCGTATTTCGTTATGTAAAAATATTTTTAACAAATGATTAAAATCCAAATACGTATCCATAAGTACGAAAATACATTTATAATTCCTTAATATTCAAATTTTTCTTTAGTTTCAGCAATAAATTATTCGCGTTTATTAATATTTTTTGTTAAAAGGTTAATAAGAAATGGTTTAACTTACTGAAGTGTGATAAATACATAAATAAATATAACAATAAAATTATAAGAGGAATATATAATATTACAAACAATATTACAGCAAATATGTAGCTAAGATATCATAGATTTGCTTCTGGAATTGCCTACTTACATCAGTCTCATTGGCGAACTCATGATCCGATTTAGATTCCTTCTTTTTGGAGGAATCTTTTGGAGTTGGTTCCACGTACTTCATTTCACTTTTTACTTTGCGCACTTTAAGCGCCTTCCGGGGCATCTCCTTTACAGTCGAAGTAGGTGATGGCATTTCCCGATGTATCTGCACGTTCTTTGCGCTATCAACAGCATTGCCATGGCAGGAAGTGTCATCGCCTGGGGACAAGATACTCGCACTATGGCTTTCTCGCAGCGACATGTGCGAAGTTTGCATTTGCAATGCGTTCATCTGCTTGGATCGCCTGTTATTATTGCGCGGTGAGTTATTGTGGCACACGCTGCTGGCCAACTTCTGGAAATCATTGCGTCTGCAAATATACAACAAATTATATTATGAACCTTATCAACATTGATGCATGCATGCACTGACTCTTTGATAATAGACTGCAGTGATTCATTTTTCACAACAACGTATCCTTCAGGTATACGAGCATTTGCTTCATCCTCCATTTGGTTCTCGTATGCAATTATCTGTTGGTTGAGTTTTTCATTCAACTGCTCAGCCTTTTTACGTAGCACACGCTCAAACGCCAATTGTTCCTCGAGTGTTTTTAGTTGCTCTTTAAGCTGTGCCAATGTGACGCGATTCTTTTTGGACTGCGAATTGGGCCCATTGCCACCTGCGCTCTGTTGCATGTGACCTTCTAGCATCTTCATATCCTCATCCTCCTTCCCTAGTTGCTCACGAATGTTACGTTGCAGGAATTTACTGATACCAGCATTTCCACGTACATTGAAATCAATAATGTAGTTGTTGACCTCGAGACAATCCAAGATCAAGTTTGCGGCACGATCAGTCAGACCACAATTCTCCATATCGATAACTACACGGAAAAGCAAAAATCGTCAAAAATATTTCGATAGCAATATTGGTCAATCACCTTTTACCCATACATCCTCCTTTAATATTTCTACAATTGCTTTTACACCATCATCACCGATTTGCGGATTACGCGCCAATGCAATCGAACGCAATCCAGGTATAGAGTCCGGATCAACATCCCGATAGCGTAGCGATTTTTGCCAACCCTCCGTGTAGCGGCTGATCTTTTGTATCTGCAAAAGAAAAAGTCGAAAGCCTCGAGGTAAAATATTTGGTTGACGAAACGACCACTTCGAAATTTTCGTACCTTAATCATATCGGCCACGTGTTCAGCACCCTTTGTTGATAGCTCACATTCAGATAAATTTAACTTCTCTACATTTTCCAGATATTTTATTGTATTGCATATAGCCTCACAACCTTTATCATAAATATTCGAACGCTGAAAACTTATTTCCTTTAGGCTTTCATTTGAAGACAGAGCCTGCGAAGTCGTCGATTGAAACAATAATGTATTTTCAAGTTAAATTCAAAGATACGCTTTAGAAAGCAAAACATACAGATCGGATCACCTTGTGTAAGTCACATACCTTAGCTATAGATTCCACGTATTTATCATTGAGTGGCAAACCTTCGAGATTTAGAATTCTTAAATTCTTATTGAACTCAATACAATTTGAGACCGCCTCTACGATACCAGAAAAAACAAACTTAGTACAGATTACCGGCTTCTGCTTAAAGAGCCGTGCCTTCTTTTCCGTATCTAAATGCTCCAACACTGTCAATACTCATATGTAAAATAAATATAAAAAAAATGGATATACGAAAGCTGTTAAGCTGGTACACTCACCCGAGCCCAGGGTCTTGCGTAAGCGGATGCTAAGCGTTTGGAGTACTTGATCGTAGTAAAGAGCTTCTATGATGAGTAACCAATCGGTAACACCTAATTTTTCACCAAAAAAATCTAACATGGATGTTGCATTGTTTTTAGTACGAATATCTGGCAAAGGAGTCAGATTCTTCGACCGACAGAGCTCCAAATACCGGAAGTGAAAGGAACGACAGCGATTAAATTTCTTCGTCGATGTCAAACTGCACACGTCACGTAATTCCAAGTTCTTCTGCATTATTCAAGTTTGACTTATTTTACCTTTGTTGTTGCTTTGATGTTGTTCTTTTTAATCCTGGATTACGATTTTTTCTTTTGATTTTTGCTTACGAGTGAGATTCGTGCGACGGACGGATATTATCGGGAGGGAGGGAGTTAAAAAGTTTGACAGTTTTTTTTAATAAAAAGGGTAGAATGAAAAAAAATCGAAATAATTTTGAAATTTTTGAATTGATTGATTAAAAAATTGTGGTTTTTATGATTTTTCTATTTTTTTTTTGTCTGATTAAAATTTTTAAGTTTACTATTTTTATTTGTATATCTAGAGATGCTATTGTTTTTCGAAAACTTGACAGCTCAACCTTTATACAAATTTAAATTATTTCGAACATAAAATTAAAATTGGTTTTAAAAGAATTTAATTGGTAATGCTAAGTCCTCAAGGTCCAGATTGAACTATTGTAAATACATAGGTGTATGTATGTATTCACATACATTAAAATTTATATATCTAATATCAGTTTGCTCACAACCATTGTATCCTCTATGTGTAAGCCCTTACAATAACACAGTTCAACAATACTAAAGCTTAGAAATAATCACAAAGCTTCTTATTGCTTTTTTAGGATTTTTTGCGCGCTAAATACAGTTGAAGTAAGAATTTTTCGGTCACTTCTAATAACCCATGCCATAGCCTGATTCATATAGGGAAAAATTTGAGAGAGCCGAATTTTCAGACTTCTTTATGTCTTTATTAGATACCTTCGTCTTTGAACTTGTTTTAAAATCTATGAGATGTTTGACTGATTTTCTCGAAACCCCTTAATCAATAATTAAAATAAAGTCACTTAACAAATTTTAGAATTCGAATGGAAAATACCAAAACTTTTGAGTTCAACAAGTTTGAATTGCTGTTATGTAAGGGCGGGATCTAAAAAACTCTCCTGTGTTAGCGACAGATGGTTGGCAAAAATCCTCCGCTAAACCCTCCACGAGCGTGCCGACTGGGAATAGATACCACAGTTTCACGACGTAGGTAAGGACGAGCTGGCAGCAGTTCGCCCCTGTTGCAGTAGTGAGGTATCTAGCTAAGGTCAGGCTTCCTATAGGGTGTTCGGTACTCTTCAATAGTGCAGCATTCATATGGGAGGTCTTACTATGGTAGAAGGTGTGTAAAGGGCTGGATCAAGGTGTCATGAAACCCGTACCGAAGATCAACCTGGCTGGGGGCCCTTAAATAGCCCAGTCTCGCACGGAGCTTACGGATACCCTACCTACCCACCTGACAGAGTGATTCGAGTAGTGATAGGTTAGATCACTTCCGGAACAAAATTTGATAACATTAAAGTTATCAATGATGTGCGTGTCCAGTGCGCTCTTGCGAAAAAAAAACTCTTATACATTATCTAAATATCAAGAATTACACGGAACGTGCAGAAGATATAATATATATCTTTATATCCTCATATATAGAGAGTATAGGAATTTCAAAATTGCAGTTGGCTTCTTACCATATACATGTATGGGTCAATATGTAAGTTAAAACATAGTAAACGTATAATATTGCATATCGTTTATTACCGAAAATGTGTAGGAAATTGTTGCAATCAACGAATTTGAATTAAATTTTGCGTAAAAAATGGAATAAAGTGCTCCAAGGCAATTGAAATGTTGACTGTGGCAGTCGGTGTTTATAAGTGGTTGTACAACTTTTACAACAAGCGCAGAAAACATCGAAACAGTGAATAAAATCTTTATTGAAAATCGTCGAATCACTATTAGGGAAGTTGCAGAAAATGTTGGCATATCAATCGGCTCATGCCATTCAATTTTCTCCAATGTTTTGGGCATGAAACATGTAGCAGCGAAGTTTGTTATGCATCACGATAATGCACCAAAT